GCGAGTCGCCAGCTGGCGACCAGTTCTGAAAATTTAGTCGCCAGTGCTCAAGTTTTGGTCGCATTGGCGACCAGTGAGTTGCAATTTCAAGCCCTGTTTTATGACCAGCATTTCCTTTGTATAGTATAATTGTGTTAAAAGTTAATTTTTATAGAACAATTTTCAAATCAGTTCTATTTTTATGACCAGCATACTAATGGCAACTTAGTGGCGTTTTGTTTGGCAAGCTTGGGATCTGATTGGTGTCACCTTGTATCAATTATCATTTACCACACTGTCTAGTCTTATGTAGCCATCTGTTGCCCACATGTTTAGCCACCACTGAAAAAAAAATATACCTGTATGAAGCAACTGTTCTTTTGCCATGCACTTTAAACTTCCAGTAGTTAGATCAAGTGTGTAATTATATAAATTAGCTACATTGCTCTAATTTGCAAAGAATTTATTGTGTACTGTTTGCCTTAATGCCAGGGAGCTGTTGGTGTCTTAAGACAAACATATTTAGAAAATGGATTCCTTGGTCTCTTCCGAGGAAACAGTGCAACAATGGCACGGATCATTCCTTATGCTTCTCTGCAGTTTACAGCACATGAACAGTTTAAACAGTTGCTTAGAAAGGATGACAAGAAAGGGTAAATCTGCTCTTACTATTAGCATGAATGGGAATTTTTCAGTCTGATAGCATATATTACAGGCCCTAATTGTTTTGCAAGCCCAGCATCTCATTCCAAGTAATTTGGACAATTCCATGCACTACAGAATCAACAAGTAATACAATCACATCCTTGTCCAGTTTGGAAATAATTGAATTAAAAAAATAAATTCCGCTTACAGCCAAATTGGACTTGGCCTACAGCCTTGTCCAATTTTGGCTGTCTTTGGAATATTTTTCATCCAATTATTTCCAAATTGGACAGCATGTAGTGCTATTATGTATACTCCTGTAGCAAGATAGTTTGTGGCTCTAAAGGGAAAATAAACTTGTAAGCAAGAAAAACAAAACAAAACAAAACAAAAAAAACAATCAAATTGTCCTCTCTCCTTTGATTTTATGATTTCCAGGTCACCTTCCTGTACATGTGTATAATTTGCCTGTTGACTAAAATCTGACAGCTTTCAACAGGCTATTATAATTGTTACTAATTATGTACACTGTAACAGCTCAGACAAGAAACATTTACACTGACTATGTGTAGTTGAAGTACAGCCAAACTATATTCAACAGTACCTACAGTTGTAGTGAGCCAAATCCTTATGAAAGATATTTGGAAAAAAAATTAAATAATTGATAGCATACTTATTGCCATCTAAGATAGTACATGTATTTCAGAGTTGAAGTTGGTGTAAATGCAGTCAATGAATTATTAGGTATTTACAATTTAGATCTACACACTGTATGTGAAATACGAAATCATGAACCCTGAGCTAACGACACAGTCTTCACCAGAAGAGTGTGGAGTTATAATTACTTTTAAATTATGTGAACACCACGAGTAATTTTGTTTGAACAAGTACTCTGTACTCAAACATCACAAAGGACAATTAAATGACAGAAAATTGAAATCAGCATATACATTATTGACAATATTTATCCAAAAATAAGGTCGCATAGAACATTTCAAATTTGAGGGGTTTGATTCCTCCTCTTTCCATCTCCTACAATGACACAGTGCTTTTCCTCTAACTGATGCAACATGTTTTCTTAATTTTCTTCTGCAAGTACATTAACAACTGTTCTTTATCTAAATAATCTGTCCATTTGTGTTATATTTCAGAGCATTGCCTCCAGTGCGTCGATTTGTAGCTGGATCTTTAGCAGGCATTACAGCTGCGTCATTCACCTACCCTTTAGATATGATTCGGGCTAGATTGGCTATCACACAGAAAAACAGGTAATTATTTTTATCAAGAAACTTAAAATAATTTATAACGATTAAAAACCATCTGTTTTACAGTAGGAACAAGGCAATCCCAGTGCCCACTTCAAGCCTGTATATAAAAACACCATCAGCACCTAGGAAACTGTTACAATCAATCAATGATAAGGTTTTTTTGAAGTCCAGTTCTTCCAGTTAAACCAAATAGGGAAAACTCTTAACTGGATAGTCCAGGGAACAGGCGAGTGGAAAACTAGGAATTAAGGAGGTGGGAATTCTACAGAAGGCGGATGAACTGAAGAGAAGGTGGGTAAAGCAAATTCCAAGGTGCTAGAAACTCTGAGAAGTGCAAAGAATTTTCTATTATTGCAATAAAGAAGTACCAAAGGTTGGGAGCTTGAAGGGAGCCTTAGGACCCTCGCCCCCTCCCTCCTTCCCCGTTCCCCTCTACCTTCCCTAGTCAAGGTGAGTTGAATGGCTCTAGTCTCTAGATTTGTTTAAAAAAGACAGGAAGCTGCTATAGGCTGAACTGCAAGGATTATGATGTACATGTATTTGGTGAAACTTATCTCTGAGATCCCTACGTGTTAATGGTTTTGTAACTGTTTTTTTTTTCTCATTATTTCATTAGGTACACTGGGCTGAATATTTTCACCAAAATTTACAGAGAAGAAGGGTTTTCGGCCTATTACAGAGGGTTGCTCCCCACCTTGATGGGAATAATGCCTTATGCTGGCATAAGCTTCTTTACGTATGAAACACTTAAAAAACTGTACTCTGACTACTTCCATCAGAAAAAACTCAACCCACTCCACAGACTTCTATTTGGTGCATGTGCTGGGCTCTTTGGCCAATCTGCCACATACCCACTGGATATAATTCGTCGGCGAATGCAGACTGATGGGATTTCTGGGCCTTCAAGGCCAGAGTATCGCAAAATGTGGACTACAGCGAAGTATGTTTATGCGACGGAAGGATTGAGAAAGGGCTTGTACAAGGGACTCAGCATGAATTGGGTCAAGGGACCCATTGCTGTTGGAATAAGTTTTACAACGTTTGATCTGTTGCACGGTTTTTTCCAGAGGCATTACATTCAAGCAGAGACTGGTTGAGGAGGAAACAAATAAGTTTGCCCCCACCCCGCCAAAAAAAAAAAAAAAAAAAAAAGATATTACAGGAGATATTTTAAAAACAACTTTGGAAATTATTCGATAACAGACAAAGGTAATTTCGCAAACTACTCGCATATAGCCCTTCAGGTTTTGTAATTAACAGTTTTAGCCCTATAGGTGTATCTGTACGCTTCAAGCTGCTCTGGAAAGTGTTTGCAATGNATGCCTGTACTGGAAGTGAAATTGATTTAGATGATGTAGGATGAACATATATGGTGGCTGGCTTGTTAAGTAGCATTGCTAACTGACATTGGTCACAGGTTGAAAGCGATCATTAGACTCATTTGTAAATCTACAGTGGACCAGTGTCAAGTCAAAGAAGACATTTCAGCAGTGGTTAGCGCCCGCAGATGGTAGTTTTTCCGCATTATTGGTCGTGAAAACATGGACTTCGCTGCACCAAATGGGAAACTTCAATGATTCGTAGAGAGCTTAAAGACACAGTTGCTTTGTTCACTAAGGACTTGCCCAGATAGTTTCGGGCAATGTAAAATTAATAATCATTTACTTAAAAACCTTGGGTACATTTCTTACAATTATTTATGAATTTTGAAATGCGAAATTTGCACGGTAGTGTTTTTGCAGATGAACAACATTCTTCGTCTGAAATTAAAGTTTTATGACATGTACATGTAATATTATAGAGGGATCTAAATGAATTTTGTACGATATCACGCCGACCTCTTCGTTCCTTCTTGCTTTTGTCAAAATTTGTTGCTAAAGGAGAAGACTGTCCACGATTATCTATAATCTATTTAAAAAATTATGGAAGATTTTGTAAAGAACATTTACATGTATAAGCCTTAAACTAACGAACTATGTTTTCTGAATTTTTTTATTCATATCACACAACTTTTTTGTAAGTCACTCACCATAAGATAGTTTCCATATTTTTCCTTATTCGTATCATTATTATAGCTGTTTTCAGTGAAAAGATGTGCCTAGATCTCTGCCATGACGTGGTTAAACAAGAAATCAGCCTAGTTTATGCATTGGATTCGGTATATGCAGAGTTCAACGTAAAAAATTAACTTTGTAACTTCCGTCAAATAGTCGACTAGCTCCGTCGATGATGCGGTAACATTTACTGTCGAATCTGTCGAATGTAATTGCATTCCCTTTCATGTGATCAGTGAAGTACGATTTGAATTAGGCAATGCACTGGCTTTGGAAGGCGCAAAAAGAACGATTCTGATTGGCCCAAGCTTCATAAGCAGCTATAGTTGTATACCCGTGCCTAGCAAAGGAAACACTTGATCAAGCTTTGAATTGGTCAGACATCATAAAGAGGAAACACTTATTCTTCATATTTAAATCTCTTTTACCAAAAATCAGAGCTGTAATTGCGATGTCTTAATTTTATCTAGCTGTCCAGATGCACATTTGAGTTCTCTCTGTAAATTCTATTTTGTGTTTAAGTGTGTTCCAAGTCGTGACAATACCAACTAAGGCCCGTCCACACTACGCTGGAGAATTTTTAAATCGCAGCCGTCCACACTAATCCGTCACGAAAACGGAGCCTTTCAAAAACGCTATTCAAACCGGGGGAATTTGAAAACCCCAGTTTTGTGTTTTAGTGTGGACGGAAAACATTTTGAAGACGGAGCTTTTCGAAAACGATATGATGACGTTACGATTATCATGTGGTTTCTGTGCGATAATCTTCAAACACAATTCCAAAATGACCGGTGATTGCAACCTCGTTCCCAGGGTTTCTTATCTTACCGCCCCCTGGAGCGAGCGAGGAGAGATCTCTCCTCGCTCGCTCCGGGGGCGGTAAGATGAGAGACCCTGAGAACGAGGTTGCGGTGATTGTTGCGTTTTCAAATTTCTCCAGCGTACTGTGGACGGGGCCTAAGCCTTAGGGAGCCCCGCACTAAAAGCCTCCGAGGAACCGGCAGCAATTAAAAGAACTGAATTCTCTGTGGCTGTTTGACGTCACAGTGGCTCAGGCTAGATTCGCGAAACCAAACTCAGGAAGTCGCCCTGGTCGCTTTGAACTAATTCTGCGGAATGTTATGTTGTTCGTTTTAAAGGAGCTCTGTCACGGTTTGCGCATATTGGAAGTTCAACCTCAATTTTTCAAATTCGTCGCGGTTTGTAATCCGTGTCAATCTTCTCCATCCTTAGCCATCCTTGTTCCTTTATGGTTTATCATTATCTCTTTGGTGTTTTTCTATCTTATTAAACTGTTATGTTCAGGTTTCCTACCATTTAAAGGCAATTTTGTTTGTGGCCAAAATAACTCAAAGTGCCGTGACTGAGGTCCTTCAAAGCCAAACTTTTCTAACTAAAACTGGGCGAATGAAATAAACGTGTAAGATAAAGAACTTCAATAACGGTTAATTTTTTTGTTCGTATGTTCGTGCCCTTGGTTTGCCGGCAAGAGGCCCTGTATTGTGCTTATTTTTAGCAAGGTATTTTACATTCTCGTCTCCAGAGCCACTTGTCCCTCTTAGTTGTGGGACCGTGACACGAGTTAACAGGTGGCTCTACAGAGACATGATTTCATTGGCTAGATCCTTGGACTGGGATTTTCAATGATTAAACGTTTGTTTCGTACAGATCTTGACAGATTTTAAAAGAGAAGTAAATTCTGACGGAAAGTGGCATTCACATGCATGTTTCGATGTCGGGACTTCATTGAAAATTCTTTCTGTGAGGCGTTTCAAACTTCCTGAAGGTCTGTAGGAGCTGCGATCCAACGGTTTTAGAGCGCGGTCAACAAAGTGAAGAGAGATAGTGAAAATCTCAATCCATGAATGCTCGTATTCACTTGCATCTGGTGAGTTTTCGCGTCGGGCGAAGGGCCTGTTTACAAGAAGAGAGGGTTACCCTAGCAAGCGGGTTACCCTATAGGCTCGATTTCCGCCGCTCTCTCGTGTCCGGTCTCTTTTTTACAGGGCAGCCAGGGTTGCCCGGGTAGGCGGGTTACCCTACAGTGTGTATCTGCGTGCTAGGGTTACCCTGGAAGGCGGGTTAACTTTTTCTCTTGTAAACACTCCAGGTAGGGTTAACTCGCCTACCCGGGTTAACTTTCTACTTGTTTTCCAGACCCTTTGAGTGTAACGCGCATTAAGTTGTCCCGGGTTGTAGGGTTACCCTACCTGTGAAATTTTGCTTGTAAACCCGGGCTATCTTTTGCCCTCCAGCTAGGGTTAATCCACTTGCTAGGGTAACCCTCCCCCTTGTTAACAGGCCCTAAGGAGTACTTGCCCGTTAATTACAAGCCTGCATTATTTTAAGGATTTCAAAGTAGGGAACATTAATTAACTCTTAGGGAAAATTTTACTTAATTCTTCCGTTTCGGTTTCTGTAATAAATCTTTGAGTAACGCTTATGCCATGCATCGCTCGGTTACTGTGTTAGACAAACTAGTCTTGCTGCTGTTATGTGATCGTTGTAAAAAGTATATGGGTCTTAATTAGAGGATTTCGGCTTGGTGCAGGGTCCGAGAACCACTCAATACAGGTGTTAACTGTAGCGATGGAAGGTAAACAAGGAAAATAGAGAGTCTGAGTGGGAGGAGAAAATAAGACTTAAATCTTTGAAGGAATTTTAAACAGCCGCTAAATGGCCAAATGAAACACCCACACTGCAAACCCTCTTAGGTCAGTAAAGGTTAAAAGACCACAAACTGCAAAAAAAAATATCTTTTCAATGCTTTTATTCACCATTAATTCCCCAAGATTATTCGTTTTTCTTCCTCACATACTGGGAGAAGAAAGTTTAAAATTAAATCCCGTCGAGAAACCTTCGCCGGTTAGTTAAGGTCAGTTGTTGGACACCTCTTTGTTAAGCCATGGCAACAGGTTTTTCACTTTAGCATAGACCCCAAACTTGCCAGGTTGAGCACATCCATAGCCCCAGCTGGTGGCGCCTTGAAGGTAAAACTTCCCACCAGTCTCACACACCATCGGTCCTCCACTATCCCCCTGACAGGTGTCAATTCCACCCTGGTCCAGGCCCGCGCAGATCATGGAGTCATGGATCTTTCCTGGGTAGGCTTTATCACAGCGGGTGCGATTGACTATCGGAACCTGAGCCTGCTGAAGAATGTTTGGAGTGGCTCCACCGGAAGCAAGTCTGCCCCAGCCTGTGATCCAGCACTTGGTACCGTCAGTTGGTTCGGGGACGGAATGGGGAAGACATACCAGATTTACGTACCTGAGAACAGGAGAGAGGATTTGCAAAGGTAGTCAGATGACATAATTTGAGTGCAATGTGTAAAGGCTGATAAATATTAGCATTCAGCTGTATTAAAATTGATTACTTTGGCAGATAACAGTGTCCTTGCTTTTCCAAATATCTTCTGTAAGTTCAAAATTATTGCGAGATATGCAAGTGAGCTTTCACTATATTCGGGTTCTCTTCAAAAAACCTCACTTGTTCTTCAGAAATCCTCGGGAGCTTTTTTACCTTTAGTAATTTAATTTTTTTTTCCAGGGAGCTACGGTCATCTTCGAAATCTAGCGGCCTTCGATCAAGTTCATTCGCACTATCCTCGTTATCATTTGCACTCGTATTACAGATTTACACTCTGGTTCGTGTTATAAGAAGCAGCATTTCTTTCAAAGTCAATCAGAATTTTGTAATTTTTCAAATGTTTTAGCCACTATGTTTGCCCTCATGTATTGCAGACAAAGGATTTCCCTCGTCAATGCGATATATATTTTCGAAACTTCATTGCTCTCAACCTTATTTGTGGTAAAAGTGAACCGAACGCTCTTGTCACTACTGATCAGAATATGATACCAAGTAAAACTGACCTGTTTAGCGTGGCTGGTTTTTCCAATTTGAGTAAGGCAATGTCATTACTGTATTGCACAGGATTGTGGTACAATGGATGAGTTATCACTTTGACTACTTTGATGTCCTGTTCAGTTCCATCAACGCTAGCACTATTGTACTCACCAGCTCTTAAAAAAGAGTAGTAGTTAATTTCAACAGTGAATTTATTAAGCGTATATATTCAAACTTAAAGCCAAGATAGACAAGATACAACAGTGGATAGGAACTTAGTTGTTTGCAGCAACACCCGAGCTGACGAGACCCCACCACGTCGAAACAGCTGTCCACGTTGGATCATGGTGTTTAGTTTGGACTCTATCACATCGTTATCGTTTTACGTTTTCTACCTAGCATCAGCTTTTTGCATTTCTATCTTGGCCTACAGATCTTACAGGAATCCTGCTCCGTGCTGAGTACGTACTGTAACTGCCCAAACCAACCCATCCCGCCCTGGATGAGTAAACACCATTGATTAATTAACTAATTGATTAATTGATTGATTTAAATTATAAATATTTTCCCAACAACCATAACGTATTTTAACAGTATTCCTTTATCTACCTTATCACAACAGAGCTTGGTGGATCTCCCTTGACACAATGAGTCGCTGTAAGCACCCACTGAGGATAGATCAGGGAACCCCCACAATAAACAAAGCCTGATGTGGTACGTAACTGAACTTGCCAAGGCCAGTCGCCATGTTTCGCATTAGCACCACCAACAATCCTTGTGTGAGGACGAATGCCACAAGAACCTTTAAGAAATTTCAATTTAAATAGCTGTTACACAATATCGTTAACAACACACTAGCAAACAGCTTGGAATGTCTGTGGTTGCATTAAAGCAGTCTGTGACTTGAAAAGAATACAACACTTACGTGGTGGAGGAGTAGCTGCAAAATGGAAAAAAAAAAATGGAAAAAGCATAATTGACTTTATTCAAAGCCTAGATAAGAAATGCTGTTTTGTATATGTTTCATCTCTAACAAGATAATACGTATTTCTAAAAGTCTAAAACTGATTTTTGCTCCGCATTGATGGTTTGTCCGTGCATGGTTTAAGTGATCGTAACTCGACTACTGTAGCGGATTTTTGGTTGATTACTCAGTTAATTTTGCATATCATATCTTAGCCAATGAGGCTATTTTCCTCATGTCAATACTGCATAGATAGACATATATGAACTCACTCGAGGAACAACTCCCTGGAACCAACAAGAAGTCGTCTATTGCGATGTCACTTGTGTAACTGCTTCCCACTATTCCTTCAAATGTAACCTACAGCAATGACACTTAATGAAATATGACGCCTAAAACGTAGTAACAATAAAGGAGTAAGGTAAAAAATCAACCTTTCTCAAAATTGCGAAAAACATGGAGTGGAAGGGGGGGGGGGGGGGGGGGGNTGATCTATCGAAAAGGTTAGTTCAGTTCAGTCTTCACTACATTTTGCTTCAAGTTTGCGAAGCAAGTACCCTGAAAACTTTCCTTTACAATCGAGTCCTTATGTTTAGCAAACCGTGCTTGTTTTCGAGATAAAGCCCATTGAAGACCATGCTTCGTTAAAAGCTTTCGTTATTTTAAGACGATCTTACCTTACAACTATCGGACATTAGTAGAATTATACTAGTATACAAATGCAAATGCTGCAATCTGATTGGCTGAGCTACTCGTACACTATCACCACTTAGAGTGCAGTGGCCGGAGGTCGTCTACGAAAAGGCAACGTGTTTTTCTTTTTTAACAAAGTTTTGAAGGAAAATTTCGATGCAAATGGATAAATTAATTCTTGAGAAGACTAAAACAAAAACATTAATGGTTTCTGACTCTAAAAATCTTGAAATTATTGAAAAAACTGATGGCGTGCGCACACAATTTCAATTTCAAATGACAATTCAATCAGAGCGATCTTTCTAAGGCACAAAGCTTAATAATACGTCGAGAGGTAATTGGAAACCGTTATTTGAAGTAAATTTCAGTTAGAATTCTACTAAAACATGTAGGCTATTTGCTCTCGATTTCTATGAGGGGATAGAAACTATCACCTGATAGAAATCTCAAGCTCATAATCTAATTGTTAATTACTGAAATTTAGATCAGACAAACGTACTGAGTTTTATACAAAAGCGTGCGCAGTAATTATGCGCAGAAACAATGGGCGTGATCGTGTTAGCTTTGAAAATTTCTTACCTCGTACATTCCCGATAAATTTACATCTATCTCCGCTTTAAGCCACTTGTTTCCTTTATCCTTACACGCAGAGAAGACTCTTGCTCCATTTAAGAACACGTTTAATTTCCCCATACTTGCGCCGAACATGTGATAGTAGAACTGAAGACACTTCTTCCCAGTAAATAACAACTTGGGACTGACAAGGATTGCATTGTCGCCTTCCACTCGAGGACTTGATGTTTCTATGTACATATAGTAGCCTGCAACAGAAGCCAAGTGGAAAATATTTATAAAACTTCAGGCAAGAAACGTTATGACAAATGTAACAGTTTTTAACATAATATTATATTTGCATTGCTTTTTTATTTTTTATTTTTTGGGGGACTGAATGGGGAAAGGATTGGGGAAGAGATCCATACAGAATTTACCTTTTTTTGGAAGGGTAGAGCGAGGGGGAGTAAAGTGCCCGCGCTAATCGTAAACTTACCCCACTTAATCATAACGCAATAAAACTATAACTATCAAACTTTGTGAAGTTTTCTGGGAAAGTATCGGTGAGTCCAAATATTGTCCATCGAAGTTTCTTATGCAGCTATGCATAGAACTAAATATAACTGAGATGTCCAAAAAGGCTCAGAGTTCAACATGACCGACAGTTTTTTTTTCCCTAAGCATGAGCTAATCAAGTCGTGTAGTGTCATTTATTGGAACTGGTAGGCGGCAAAATTCGTCAAGTCCACCGATCATTATTCTTGGTAACATGAATGAATGAATGAACTTTAAAAGTGTACGATGTAATATTTCTATTGACTTTGATAATGCGTGTGTAATCGATAAGGGCAACTACTGTGTTCGGAAAATGCTAGAATCCTGGCACACTGCCAAAACGGTTGGCGCGGACAATAACTCAAAACCGTTACCTAGGCAATACTCCATTTTATTGTAATTAGACTTCATTTACATTTTTATCTCTTAGCTCTTGTCACACTTCTTTTGCATTCTAGTTTTATAAAATTTTTTCACACCCTTTTTCGTATATATTTGAAATACTTCTGCGAAAAAATTTTTGGATTCGGTTAAATCCTCGATTTTCTGTACTCCGACGAAATCTCGAAAATAGCTCCAAAACACCGCCATTTTGTTTCACGACCGAGTTTGAGGAGAATGGGTCGAGCGGCTGTTGTGACGTCTACCCAGGAAGGTTGAATATCTCACGTCCTCTCATTTCCTTCAGGATGGTGTAATACACATTCGAAAAGTGCGCAGAAACGTCTTCCAGAAGTGCTATCGGTTGTTGCAGCAATATCCCAGATTTAAAGAAAGATATACTGTACAATTTACTAGCGGTGATCGGTCAATGGTTCTATAAAGACGTAAACGGTGGTTGATTTCGTCGAACCGAAACAAGCGAACTGACTCTGAGAACCATCGAAGAACTCTCACTGGAATTTGTTCCGCAGACTTTCAAACGCAATTTTCAAAATTTTCTGCTTAAAGCCAACCAACAATTTTGTAGAAATACCACCGAAAACCGACATCTTCCAATCCCGTAGTATTTATAACATGGCCGGCAAAGTTGTGTGATCAATCAAGGAGCGTTACGACCAAATATACTGATATGTAAATAGGTCGCAACTGTACGCCACCAACCAACACTTATTTCTCTTTCGATTTAGATAAAAGTCGAAGATTAATCCTTTAGAATTACATAATAACAAAACTGTTAGACTCACAGAGTTTTTCGAAGGTTTGGAAATCAGCATACGACAAACATTCTGTGCAATAGTGTCGAAAATATGACCGCGAAACATTCATGTCTGCGGACCGCTTAGGGAACACATCCTTTTCGCTTGCCCGACGAATTTCACTGCAAACTTTGAAACACATTTACACTGGTTATTTGGAGTTACAACTTAAAACGTGAGACAATGTGAAATCGGTAATTGCATGAAATGTTTCCTTCCACCTTGCTTCCCGCAGCTTCAAAAATACTGGTGCAAACAATTCTACGATTTTCAATCGATCGAAGCCAAAGTCTCGGAAACTGCAACACTTACGTCGCTCTTATAAACATGAAGCATTCTAGAAAGTAAAACACAAACTGGATTTTATAGAACAACCATACCTTGACAAAATGCATTCTCACTGAGGACATTTGTAAACGGGCTATAAACACGCGTGGGAGTATTGTGTTTAGGTGACGAATTGAAATTACCATCCAAAGCAGTCCTTGAGTTTTCTTTCCTGCTTTTCGTTTGCCTGCTCCTCCACTTCCTATCTAGTTTTCCATTCCTAATATACAAGCAGCTCGTCCGCAAAGAAATCTTCCCCGTCGTCGCTTGAAATATTGCAAATTGATTTCTAAGCTCTCAGCAGTGAGTTCACAGTTGTCAGTTGTCGAACGTGCTCGATCGAAGTTTATTTCGGAGTCTTCCGAATCGAAACTTAACTCTGACTCCAGTGACGAACAAGAAATGATTCTGAAACAATACTTGGACGTTTTAGCCCCAAATATATTTGAACGATTAGTTTTGTTTTCCATTTTCTCGAGCAAATACAGAGAACTGACTGAGACGGCAGGTATATTTTGCAGGTCGCAGGTTGCAGGCTGCAGGTTGAAATTTAATAGGCTCTTTGCAGCTGGGGTCACGTGACCACATTTTTTCTTTTAAAAATTTCTATTATGGGCTATAACTTAAAGAATGCCAGAAATGGAAAGAGCA